TGGTCCTCAGGAAAAGTCTGACGTGGAGAGAAAAACAGGGTGGTCTCGAACCAATGTGAGCTGGCCGAGCCCTGTTACTCTGGCAAGGGTCTACCACCAAGACAGCTGTACCGCATAGGAATTAATAAAGCAATATAATTTAAATGGTCATGTCCGTTGTTTAATCATGGGCCTAGCTTCGGCCTTGCAATGTGTGTCTGTTTTTTTCTCAGAGGAGGGCCACTCGTTATGGTCAGAAGCCTGCAGGCAAGGCCCTATGAGGGGAGACTGTGGGGCCTAGATCTCTTCAGCCTTCGCATTTTCCAGCAGCCCCTGCCTATGCCACTCCAGCCAGTCTCTGTGGAGACCCCAGGGGTGGTGGGGCCACGACAGCATGGGACTGTGATGGCCCTGCACCCCAAAGGTCTCTATGGAGTGCTGCTGGCAGGGCATGTGTGGCTGGGCAGGAAGCTGCTCTGGGACTGTGGCAGGGACCTTGTGGTGGTGACAGTGCAGGCTGGAGCCAGGGCAGAGCTGTGATCCACTGCTGCACGCCCCTGCCTGCAGAACTCACGGTCGTTTTGGGGCTGTGCTGGCAGCGCATTGCAGCTCTGCCCCAGCTCTGGCCTGTGCTGTCACTGTTGCAAGATCCCGGCCCCGGTCCTGACGTAGCTTCCTGCCCAGTTGTGCAACCTGCCAGCGCCACTCCAAACCAGTCTCCATGAGACCTGCTGCTCCTGGGATCTCCATAGAGACCAGATGGAGCCATGCAGGCAGGGGCTGCTGGGAAATGGAGTCCGCTGCAGACCTGATCTAGCCCATGGCAAGATTCATATACAACAGGGGTGGACTTTGCTTACCCCTCCCTTAAGAGGCCACTCTGTTACAGTCCTGTAGAACTTCCTCATAAATAACTGCAGAAATGTGAGCTGGATACAAGGTGGATAGATAATTAACACAGTAACTGCAAGCAAAGGGTAACTATAAATGGATTTACATCAGAGTGGAAGGAGGTTTTGCACAGAGTTCAGTAGGGATCTGTCCTGGGTCTGGTACTATTTAATATGCTTATTTAACAATTTAGATGACAGACTTCCTGGTCACATCTGCAGGTGACACAAAGCTGGGAAGGATTGCAAAGATTTTGGAAGATAGGACTAGAATTAAAAAGGATCTTGATAGAGCTAGGCTAGGGACAACAGAATAAAATTTAGTGGAGACAAATGTAGGGTGATGCACCTAGGAAATAATAATGAAAAGCACAAATACAGAATGGGAGGGTAAGTAGCTACTTTATCCTCCTGTCTGTTGCAGGCCATTTAGCTCTACCATTAGTCCCACCAAGCAAGCTTCAGTCTCTACCCAGCACAAACAAGACAAATCAAAGTCCTCTGTCCTTTCCAGACATTAGAAGAGTCACTTTCTGCTCTGTATTTTCGCCTGCACAGCAGCCTGGCTTCTCCTCCTTGCAAGCTCTTCCCTCACAGTTTGCTTGCTTTTGCTCTCTCCTCTGTGCTGGTGAGGGGCAGGTGCTGGGGCATGCACACACTAGGGGAGGGGGCAGGCAATAGGGTGTGGAGGAGCAAGGGTCAGGCCACTTGATTTCCTTGCCACCTGTCCCCCTTACTGCCCACCCCTCTGCTGCTGCTTGCCATGCTACAACGGTGAGGAGAACAAATATAAGATGACCCTTCATTAATTAGACTCTATATGAAAATTATAACAAATTTATAAATTTTCCATGTTGTGGAGTCATTTTAAATGAAAGTTGTGTTGGATTTAGGTAAATACGTTAGTAATTTAGTACTAGTTAGGCTTCATCTACAGTACTGTGGTACTCCTGGGCTCCATGCACTATGGATTTGGTGATGTTAGAGAGGTTCCGGAAGTGGGTGACAAAAGTGATAAGACAAACTGTACAAGGACATTTTAAGAGAACTAGGTGTGTTTTGCTTGGGGAAAAGGAAATTAAGAGAGGACATGATAGCAGTCTTAAAATATTTGAAAATATTTAAGAGGGAGAACAACTCTTGCCACAAAGGGCAGGATAGAATGGCTTTAAAATGATAGCAAGTAGATTGCTTCTCAGGAAAAAAAACTTTCTTACTTTCAGAACTATTAAGACAGTCAAAGAGCGTGCCCTGGAAAGCTGGGTAATCTCCTTCATTGGAAGTTTTCAGGTGGAAGCTGCATAAGCATTGGACAAGCATGATTTAGGAGTAGCCTTCTTGCATTGGTGCAGGAGTCAGATCAAATGGCTCTCGAGTTTGAAACTTGTGAAGTTGTGGCTTTAAATTACTTTAACTTTGTTTTCTTCCTTAAATCGCTTTTGAAATACTCTTTTAAATAACAGTGACTGAAGGGTATTTTTTGCTTTTTCCCAATAGCCTGATATGTTTCTTTGCTACCCCCTACCTTCTCCATATTCTTTTCACTTCCCAGACTCAGCAGCAGTCTTGCTGAGAAGTAGCGATTGCAGATTCTGCTTGCCTTTTGATTAGCAGTAGGGGATGATACTGTGCTGAATGTGTCTTAAGAATGGCTGTGTCCTTTGGAGCCCTAATGTCACTCTGAGGAAGTGGCTCCTTGCAGTTCTCGAGCTTTCTGTTCTGAGTTTGTGGTGATGCGTAACTTGAAGCCATGGGAGGTGGATGGCACTAATAATTATGTGGGTTGCATAGTAAGTTTGGAGTCAGTTTTGTTGTTAATCACTAACTTGCAGAGGTGATTTACTCTGATATCAGTTGCCCATTTTTAAAATCATTTTGGTTTCTAAATTCTGCAGTTGAAGCGGCTGGAGGAAAGGCTTTACCATGTGTTGTTAATGTGAGGGAAGAACAGCAAATCGCTGATGCAGTGGAGAAAGCTGTACAGAAATTTGGAGGTATGCTAATTTGTGTGCGCTGAGGGGGCAGGGATGTTCTTTGTTAATAAATGATCTACAAAACTTTTCAGTTAAAATTAGCTTATTGAAATAATGAAACTTTAATAGTACATTTTCATTATATTCTTTCCCCATTTTGTTTTAAATGGTAGAGTTTAAAATATTAATGTGAAATGGATTATTTTAATTCAGGAATAGATATTTTGGTGAATAATGCAAGTGCCATCTCCCTGACCGGTACCTTGGAAACAACTGCAAAGAAACTGGATCTTATGATGAGTGCTAACACAAGAGGAACTTATCTTACGTGAGTGCTGTAGAAGTACAAGTTCAAAAATTTTAAAACTTTTAAGATTAAATTACATAACTGTCAATGTTCATTCAGTATCTGTGTATCTTTATACATATATTTTAAACTTAAGTTTAAGATGCTGTGTATATGGATATAGTTAAATGAGAGGTTCTGAATGAATGACTTAGATTTTAATTCGTTCAAGAATTAAATTGGGATTGAAAACTGGGTATGTCACTAGAATAGCTTTCCTGTAGGTTTATAATAAGATGTTAGGATCTGCTTTTGAGAGGTGCTGACCTGTGATACTGATTCCAAATGCTGTTATTTTCCATATGGTTACCAGCAAATTAGGTCAATGCAGTTTTGGTAAACAAAATTCAAATTCAAATCCTATTTTACTCAAATTTCTGCGCGCTCATGTTATAAATAAACTCACCATCTGTTACCAATTCCCTTTATCTTTTTGAATGCAAAGCAGTATTTGTAAGTTTCCTTCTCACAAGTGTGTCTTTTAAGCTCTAAAAAAAAAATACTCAAATGTTTTACAGTGAGTAAATTGGAAGCATTAAGCAGAATATTCATTTTTTATGAAAGAAATTGTTGTATAGCATTCTATCAGAAAGCTGTCCGTTTTATTACATCATTAAATGCCACTGCGAGTTGAATCCACAACTTCTGTGGCCCTTACTAATATTTTCCTCATCTTTCCAAATAAATACACTAAAAAAGAAATCTTTTCTAGACAGAAGCAGCCATCCCTCCCTGTGAAATTGTTTGATTTTAAAACTGAAAGCTAGGTTGAACAAAACTTTGTTAGAGAACCTTCTGAGTTTTATTTCAGTTACTGCAGGCACATTTACACATGGCGCTACGTCACTGCTGCTGTGGCATCATAGCATCGGCGGGCATGAACCATGACACCGCCGCTACTGCACAGTAGCTTGTTGCTACGGTACAGTAGGGCTGGAAGCGACCCATGAAGCACCAGGATTGTGCTGTACCAGCGGTTGCTGCACAGTCATTTTAGTATTTGCTAAAGAAGTACTAAATGTGCAGTAACAACTACACAATCAGGCACACATGTAGACATGCCCCACTTGTACTAATGCAGGCACTCTTTGATCTGATGGTTTCTAATCCTAAAGCTACAGCTGTCATGCTGCTTGGTAAAGATCATGCTTTCTGAGTAGTAAACTCAACATAGTGGGAGAAAAAAACCATGTATTTAAAATAATTCTTGCCTTTGAAAAAGGGTATTATTAGTTGGTTTTGCATAAGAATGGGCTAAAACACTTTTTTTGCTGAACTAAACAAACATGCCTAATGTATGTTTGTATTAAAGGGACTATTTAAGGAGTTTGCTTCCCTCCCCACTCCCAGCCTGTACTTATCTATTCCTGAAAGTCTTCATGTAACAGTGTCTGAAAATAGTAGCTCAGTAGATTAGGGAAAAACACCCTATGGAACATAACATTTAGGAAAACATTTAGAGCAAATGTTGAAGTGCACCCCGTGAGTGTCTGTTGCTAAATCTCTGAATAAATACTGTTATCTTCTCAATGGCAATAGTACTATTTTTCTCAGTAATAACAACCACATTTCCTCGATGGTGACATTAATTTTGATTAATTTCTGTAAGAAGTGCTGATATTGCTGCTGCTGTTTTACAAGAGTAGCAATCTCTCCTTTAGTGCATTAAAAAAGGAAAACAGCTTTTGTTTTGTGTTGTCACAAATTGAAAAATGTGAAAGACAAATGACTCCCAAAGGAAGCTGTGCATGGAGGAATGGCCTTTATTATTACTACTGTATCTATTAAATCAGAAGACTTGTAGTGTAACCAAATGACATGCTTTACGCTTTCTTCCACTGCTGTCTAGATAGATGGGTACCATTAACAAGTATATGAAAAAACAAGTATTTAAAGAGATTTTTACAATTTTTTTGCAAAGCTACATTTATTAAAATACATAATATCTGGGCACAGCGGGGTATGGAAGAGTTTTCCTCAACTTTATGCAGTATGCCTATCAGAATGTTTCTTGATTCAAGTGCATTCAGAACATTGGAACATATATTAGGGTTTTACAGTGTTTAAAAAAAAAAACACCAAAAGGATCCTTACATGTCAACCAGTGCCTTTCCCCCTCAACCAACCCATATATAGATTGAATATGCATGTCCTGTGATCTACTCATTAGATTGTTTCCTTTATAAAACTTAAAAAGGAATGTGTGTCAGGTTGCTACGGGGAAAGAAGCTGTGTTTGTTTGCATGAAAACATGACACCATAAACTGCTAGTGTCGGTGACTTAGAGTGCTGTGCCAAGCATTGTAAAAACCAAGCCAGAAATGTCAGAGTTAAAGCATTTAGGAGACTAAGCACTTCTGAGATTCTGCTTCCAGTTCTTGGCAGGGTGGGTTTGATTTTAAATCAAATCAATTTAAATCATTATTTAAATTGTGATTTAAATCACTGGTCAGGAAGCCTAGAATTAATCATTGTTTTCTACAAAAAGCGCTTTCTTGTTGTTTGATATAACCTTAATGCATATTATTCACAACTTGGAGATGGATGTAGGTTTCATTTTTTGAAGGTACACACAATACATTTTAAAGCAGTGATTTATTTTGGTATTTTTTTCAGACTAATTTTGCAGCTACATCAGAGAACTAAATTATGATTTAGTTATTTTATTTACCAAAGCTAATTGAAGCAGATACTTGTGAAGTCATTGGGAGGAGAGCTATCTCCAATTCACTAGATTAATGGTGGATATTTGGGGGATATATTTTAGGGCTGTGCAAAACAGTACCATTTTGTTTTGACTTCTGTTTTGCCATTTCAATGGAACAGCATTTTGTTTAGAGTTTTGTTTAGTTTCGAAAGCACTGTTCCATTTCATTGAAACTGTTTTGCTGTTTTGACCTTTTCCCCATAGGCTATCATGGGGAAGCACAACATTGCCTATAACTTTTGTCATTTTTTGGCACATTTAGATGAAAACAGCAGGCATGGTAGCACTTTCTGAGGGCATGAATCCTGCCACGTTTCAAGGACATAGGTGTAGGGGTTTCTGGGAAACTGCACCTCAAAGTCTTGAAAGCAAAAACTCTGTCACTTGTAAGTGTGAAGGCACGGGGGCTGAAAACAGCAGGCATGGTAGCCCCTGCTGAGGCCATGAAGCCTGCCATCTTTCAAGGAGATAGGTGCAGCACTTTCTGGGAAACTGCACCTCAGGCTGCTGACAAGCAAAACTCGTGACATGTATGACTGTGTGTGTGTGTTAAGGCATGCCCTCACTGGCACTGGGGCCTCTACATGACATGGTAGTGTTCCCCAATGACATCTCTTCCTCCCCTACAGCCTCAGTCTGATCCACCACTTTAAATAATAACAGGTAAAATAATAAGTTAGTGAGGAGCAGCACAGCACCAGCAGCATCTCAGACAGCCAATCTGTGACAGAGCTCTTCTTTCCTCTCCTGCATGTGTCCTTCCCCCCTTTCCCTCCTTACTTTCTGTTTCCCTGCAGGCAAGCCCAGTTTCAGCTTCAAACCTTGAAATGTTTTGAAACTTTCAAAACATTTCAACTGCCCTCATTTTGTTTCAAGGCTGTTTCGAATCTTCACTTTGTTTCGATTTTACTGTTTTGAACTTGAAATGAGTTGAAAAGAGTTGAAATGAAACAGCCAGCAAAATTTCATGCAGCCCTAATATTTTTGCCATGCTGTATTAGGAGGACAACAACCATCACCAAAAACAACAGACATATAAATTGTTTTACTTAACTAAAACAACAAATGTATATATTTTTGAACCTTTAACTGGTTTAGTTATAAATGTGAAATGGGTTTAAAAAAAATTAGATTATTTCAGCCAGCTCAACATGAGAAACCTAAATTATGCAAAAAACTCAGTTTTCACTTTCCTCTTCCTGTTTATTCATAGACTGGGAAAAAAATACCAGCTGTCTTGCTTTTTCAGGTCTCAAGAGATCTCTCAGTTTAGAATGAATTTGGCCCAAAGGCCAAAGAAAATATTCCTTCTATACCTGCAGAAGAAAGTACTGCTGTTAAAAACTGGATTATCACTTTAATAGACTCTGAGGAATCCAGGTGCTTAAGTGACTTCCACCAGTTCACTGGTGTGATTTCCTTTAAAACCTCATCAGCAAACATATACTTCTTGAACAGTTAACCCTTAGCCCTGACATTTATTATGGTTGGTATTATGGAAGGATGATTGCTGGATGTCCGTGTCATAGCCAACTCCTCCTCTTCAGCAGTTAAGGATTGACCCTGGCCCTGAGTATTGAGAATATTGGCAAGAAAATGAGCTGGAGATGGTGCTCAATCCATTCATTTTTTAATGCCTGTAGACTCAGAGATTCAGAGATTGCGAGGCCAGAAGGGACCTCAGAAGATCATAAAGTGCAGTCCCCTGCACCAGACAGGAAAGACAACCGTCCAGTCTCCTCTCGAAGATTTCCAGGGTAGGCAATTGCACCACCTCTGGATGGAGCTTATTCCGCAGTCTGGACACTAACTGTGAAGAAGTTTTTCCTAATGTTGAGCCTAAAATGGTCTTCCAGGAGTTTATGGCTGTTATGCCTGGTTTTCCCTAAGCGTGCCCTGGTGAACAGTTGTTCACCAAGCCCTTTGATGTACTCCCCTGATGTAGTGGTAAGCTGCTATTAAGTCCCCTTTCAGCCGTCTCTTTTTCAGACTGAAGAGTCCCAGGTCCCTCAGCCTTTCCTCGTATGGTTTGCCTTGCAACTCTCTGATCATACGGGTGGCCCTTCTCTGGACTCTCTCGATCTTTACTGCATCCTTGTTGAAGCGTGGTGCCCCGTACTGGAGCCAGTACTCTCATCAGTGCCAAGTAGAGTGGAAGAATCACTTCCCTAGCTTTGTTGGAGATACATCAATTGATGTAATTTAACTCTGTCATTGTGTATTTGTCTTTTCAAGGTCTCACTCAGTTCCTTCCAAATTTCAACAGCATCAGCAATCAAACAGCGATTTCCCTGTGCTTTGTTGAAGGCTATGGAAATAGGTTTCAGGATAGTCAGCATATGTTCTACATTTTTGTTTAGCCCAGTGTTGAGAACTCCGGCTATGAAAGTTCCATCTGATATGTCATGATTTTATTCACAAAATTATCATCAGATTAGGCTGGTTCCCAATATAACACTCAAAATGGTCTACTGAGTTCCATTGCATGTCTTGTGGGAGAGTTAGTTTGGTTCCTCCTGCTTTCTTTAGAGCAGCTGCTGCAAAGTAGTTGTTACAGAAATATTTTGCAGTTTCAGCAACATTAGCTTTTATTTCTGGAGCACTGAAGTCTTTGGCTAAGAGGTACATCAAATGAGTGCTGCAGCCATATGTTAGCATCTTGGGACTTTCTTCTAGATTTCTCTTTATCTTTGATACATTTGCAGCATTGTCTGACAAAGCTGCGTACTAGATATTTGAATTCTTTTTCACAGTTAGTTATAGTTTTTACTGCATATACCCCCAGATTTGTGCGTGGGGCAGAGGCAGATGCTGCTGCAGGCTGGGCTCTGCACCCCATTGCCACTGCCCCAAGAGCCATATGATGCCATGTGCCTGCTGCTGCCAGGCAGGCAGGGGA